TGAGATTTCCTTTGCACTGGCTGGAGATACCATAAAAGTTAACTGCGCTACCAGTGGAACGGAGCTGATTGTTTAAATTTATTACAGGACAACGAAGAGTTCCAAGTGAAACATTTCCACTGCATGGCACGTCCAGGGCTGCGTCAGGACGGTGCGCTGCTCTGTGATGACTTGTTAAGGATTCTGCAAATGTTACAGACAGGCACCTCGTATTTGAAGATTCCTCTCTCGAGCAAATCTCCTTTTATCTTTGTCCCTCAGGATTTATTCCCTCTGTTACACTCCGACTGCTCTGTCTCCACAGAGCTCCAAGAGCATGGAATGTGGCATTACCTGTTTTTTATGATCTTGGCATGAACTCGGAAGAGTAAGAAAGATATAAGAGCAGCCATGCAAGAATGAGAGACAGAACAAGGTGCAAGTTTCCCATCCATTTCAGAACTCCATTTAATCTGCATTCTCCTCGAACATTTGGTTTCTCCCAAAGGAGATTTCTTCTCCTTTTGTTCTCTTCCAGATGGCAATTGATTTAACTGCCTTCTGAATCACCTGCTGCAGGAGCCTCTCTCCTTTCTCTGACTCTATAGGACATCAAGAGCAGTGACCAGCAATCCTTGGCTTGAGATTTCCAAGGGAAACCCCACGACCTGCTTCTAATGGGCCTGTGAAAAGTAAATGGAATAACAAGTCTACTACCTGCAGGCTTAAATCTACTACTGTGGGGTCTATGTTGCCACTGGACTTTTTTTTTTTTTTTTTTACAGAGAGTTTACAGATCCAGAATAAAAGGCTGGAAACTACCAACACAGAAATACACACTGCTCTAGGCAAAAGTTGTTCTTTGGAATTCCCTCCTCTGCCCTACGGAGTTACATGGACCAGACTGATTAGGAGTCACAGACACTTCCCAAAACCTCTGTCTGCCTTTTAGGAGTTATCCGGACATTCTTAACTGTGTGGGCACATGGGCAGGCACTGAGCAGGAGAGACAGGTACAGAAACTGCAGTTTGACTTGGGGGTAAAGCCACAAAAGTTACATCTTTTTAGTGCATGTAAAAACCTTTCACTGTTAACTGCTTGTTGCCTGTGTACCAAAATAGACAACTCTAGCTCACATAAATGGCTAAAATGTGAATAAATTAAGAGGGACCCACCAGAGCATGGCAAAGGAAGACATAATTCTGTGCAACCTTGCTGAAGAATTTAAATCACAAATTGAAAAGCCTCCTACTAACCACAGTCCAGAGACTTCCCTGATCAGAGAATATCAATTATTTCAATCTGCAGACATAAATAAACCCACAAAATTCCCACCTGCTTGCTTGCTACCAGAGGTCCTGATTCAGTTACCTTCACATATACATTGTACTCCCTTGCATGGTCTCTTATTTTAACATTACTAAACGAGTACCTCAAGTCTATTTACAGGAGGTCAAACACCTTTTTCCTTACAGGTAACTTGAAGACAGGGGAAAAAAAAAAAAGTGCCAGCATAGGACACAGCTTCTGCAGAAATCTTAATTAATAAAAACCAAACTCACAAACCACCACCAAACACACATAAAACTAAAACCAGAAAAGATAATGTTAAGACCTACTGTACCTTTCAGGGGTTTTGGTCTACCTCTTTCCTGCAGACAACTCGGGATCTTCCTTCTCCAGCAGCCAGCCTAGATAGCTCCGGAATTCACTGCTTCAGTTACATCCCTTAACAATTTCGGATGTTAGTTACCCCCTGCATGAGACAGTCACCCCTGAACCACCCTTCTTTACCTATTTCTAGTTCCCTGTATTTCAGATTACACGTTAGACCGACACTATGCTATTAATAAGCAGTGCTCCCTCACCCCTGAAGGATGTCTGAATAAGTTAATCTTCATTATGACCATTCAAATATTGCCGATATCATATTTTTCCAGCCTAAAATTCAGTCACTGAAGAATTCACCTTTTCTACTGTACATCATTACTTTCCATCCGCAGCAGGGGATGCTGAGGTTGGAAAGCTCTCCCTGACTGTTAATCCTTTCAGGAGTGAGAAAGCCTCCTTTATCTCATCTCATAATTTCTCTCTTTCCCAGCAAAAACAAACCTATTACCCATAATCTTGCTTCAAACACATGACCTATTTTGCTATAGGCTGTTCTCTATGGTTTAAACAACCTCGAGGTAATAAGGTTATTTAAAGGGAGCTTCTCTTTTCTTTCCACACAATTCCCTTCATCATTAATTCACATTTGGCATATTTACATTGTGCAGTAAGGAACAGCAGAAAGATCCCTGAGCCAACACAGACTGGAGCTGGGTCAGTCCCCTGAATGCAACGTAACTGCACGATGATATAATAGTTTGGCAACATAATCCATAGTGTTTGCTGAGCATCCTTCCACAGGGATTGTAGGCTGGCCATTAGAAGAAGGTTGAGACACATGGCTGAGCTGCCACATAAAAAATATTATAAAAAAATAAGCTGTGACTAATCGTCAGGCTGCGGTAACCAACATTTGCATTACACCTGCTCCTTGCAAATACAAGGTAAAATTTAGCTTAGCTCTTCCCCTGCAGTTTACACTAACGCCACTTTGCATTTGCAGAGGGCTAAAAGCACACGACAAGTTGCTGCGGGTCAGCTGATACACCCACCTGACCCTTTAGTGGCATTTTTCATACCATAAAACACATTCCAGCCTACCTCAGGACCTTAAACAACTCCACTGCAAGTGCTATTCTGCTCCGCTCATCCAACATCTCCTCTCCATGTACGCATCCCTCCTATGGGCTTACTCCTGGCTTTTTAATCCGCTTTCCTTCATGCTATGGTTAAGCCTCCTACACGTCACATCTCAGCCGTATTGCCGTTTCTCCTGCCTCTCTATTCCTTTTATCCTGGCTGTCACCCTCGGTGCTTGCGCAGGTCCTTCAGTAACTCATGAGGGGGACCTGTGGCTCTGCTAGTTTCCGTGTAAAATTAACGGAATGCTAAATACTAATTAGTATTTCCACAGTATCCACAGGGAGTGATTCCCTCCGGCTTTCTGGAGTTAGCGAAGCCACAAACACTTTGCTGACTTGTAGCTTCTTCCTACCTGGGCAGTTGTTGAAAAATCCTGTCTGGGATCAGGATTCCCTCTTCTTTGCCAATAGCTCCCAACTCCTGACCTACACTGTTACAGCAAGCCACCTGTAATCAAAACACTAATATTATGCCTTCCTTCTCATTTTTATCTCATAGTTTTGCTCTGCCATTTTTCCGCAGAACTGTTCGTGTTGCTTAAAACCAAAAGAAAAAAAAAAAATTCATTTAAACCAGTAGTTTGTTTCATGAGATGTCAGACACCCACCTACGGCCCCAACAGGGACTAAAGGTGATTTCATGATTTCTTCAGACAACAGAAAGGACCAACTTGAAATCAAGCAGAGACCTGTGAGGGGGTTCTCACTGATACTTTATGGCACACTGGCTACATCAGGGACAATGTGGTTCAAGCTCATTTAAGTCCTTTGTGATACTGAAGCCAAGAATCCAAAGCTCCCTGGAAAGAATATGAGCTATATGGTTCAG